CTCGTTTTAATAATTACACAGTTGTCTGTACCGTTCTCATATCATTCTCATATTGTTCGGCAGGATTAGCCTTTTGTTTTCTTTCCCTCAGAGAATTGAGGACAATGTGAGAGTGTATTAAAACGGCCATTGCATATTGTTTTGCAATAATATTTAATATATACACATGTTCATATTTATAGATTTTCTGCCAAATCATAAAATTAATTCAAGGATTAGGTAATTTTAATAAGAGTGTGTAAAAGTGTATTGAACTGTGGAGTTATTTTATTCAAATACTGTATGTTCACCTTTGTGTAGCTGTATATTTTCTGGCAATGCATGGACTTAAATGTCTCGGTCAATAATTCCAGCAGTGCCCATCACCCCCGGGCCTTTGCAGCTTATCCCTAGGGTGGGACTATTGCCGTAATTTTTTAGCCCTGGGTGGGGACTTCAACGTTTTCTATCATGGCAGACTATACCAAGATTACCCTGGGTACAAGGTTGCATTTTATGTTTGTGATGTGACGCCGGGCAAGCTTGAAAAACATGCCTGGCCACGGTGGGAATCGATCCTACGACCTTTGGAATACTAGCCCAAACATCATATTCACTTGAGTACATAACACCAATACAGAAAATATCATGATTACTAGATTGCATTGATATCAAAGGAACTAGGCTCAGTTCCGATATACAGTATCACATACTTGAACCCGACCTGACCACATAGTTGAGTTGGCAGAGCATTGGGCTTGTATTCCAAACGTCGTAGGTTTGATTCCCACCGTGGCCAGGCATATTTTTCAAGCCTGCCTGGTATGGATATACACTCAGAGTAACATCACAAACAACTTATTCACCTGAGTACACAACACCAACACAGAAAATATCATGATTATTAGATTACATTGATATCAAAGAAACTAGACTGGGTTCCGAAGTATCACATACTTCAACAGACCTGACTGCGTACAGCTCAGTTGGCAGAGCATTGGGCTAGTATTCCAAAGGTTGTAGGTTCGATTACCACCGTGGCCAGGCATATTTTTTCAAGCTTGCCCAGTGTGGACATACACTCAGAGTAACATCACAAACATCACATTCATCTGAGTACATTACACCAACACAGAAAATATCATGATTACTAGATTGCATCGAAGAATCAAACTAGACTCGGCTCCAAAATATCACATACTTGAACCGACCTGACTTCAGTTGGCAGAGCATTGGGCTAGTATTCCAAAGGTTGTAGGTTCGATTACCACTGTGGCCAAGCATATTTTTCAAGCTTGCCCAGTGTGGATATACACTTGGTACAATTAACACCAACATCACATGCAAATCAATGTGTACTAAACAGTCAATATTTTTGCCCAGGGGTGGGGCTTTAGCACAGTTCGTCTTTCCCTGGGGTGATGACTTGATGGCCTTTTTTTCCAGAAATGCCTAATTCCCCGGGGTAGCCTGGGCAGGATGGGCACTATTGGAATTGTCATGACTGACACACAGCCTGCAGTAATTGGCATTATGCTTGTTGTGTTAGCAACAGTTTTACTAACTCTAACCCCTAACCTAACCCTACCTCAAGTTTGTTTCTAAATCGTTTTATTGTCTGTATTATAAAACAGAGAAATTCACGGCAATTACAGTTGGGTTAATTTATGTAACAAATTTGAGGACTGTGCAGGAACTGAGACAACTTGGTTTTTGCAGTGTCGTTATATGGAGGAAGGGGGGCCCTTAGGCATATTTGGTGTGGGGGCCCCTGTTGACTGTTGTCATTGTTTGACTGAGATATTATTATTTATATTGAATATTTATAGCATGTTGTGGAAAAATCGGTTATTCAAGAAAAATAACAGTCTCCAACACATGTAACAATTAATATATAAGTATATAACAATAATTTTTGTTTTACTCGAGATGGAATAAAAAAATCAGCTACCATTGTCAAAGGAGGCTTTATTATTTAACATTATTAATTTTGCATTTTCCAATTGATGTGGCTTAATTAACCTGCATTTTTTCTGGGCGAGAGCCATAGGCCATGGCCCCTAACAGTCGGGGGCCTTTTGTTTTTGAACTAACCCTACCTAATGACCGTTACGCCACTGGGTTTTGTGCTATTTATTAAGATGTATTGTTGTCTTGTTCGTCACTCATAATGATACAACAAAACAGATTATCAATAATTATCCTGAATGTCCTAGTGCAAGTGTAATTCTATCCTAGTTCAATTAACTAACCATGTCGACATAAGATATTAATAATGACTGTTTATATTAGAATATGTGCAAGATATCTATAGTGTTCAGAGTACTGTCAATTCTCGACAATTGTACTATGGTATTAATATACAGCACAAGTTGTATTGATTTAAAATACAAACTATCATTAATTAATTAATTACACATGTTATATCAGTGGCGTAGCCAGAATGATAATTGGGAGGGGGGGGGGCATATTCATATATTTGTGTTCACATACCATAAAAACAATTGATTTCAAAAGAAATTAATTAATAAAGCAGAACACAAATATATGAATATGCCCCCCCC